TGGATTAGAATTAGAGAAATGGATGTAAATGGTTACAGGGAGGAACAGTGCTGTAGAGCCAATTTAGGGGTTAAAATGTTAGTGAACTGTTTAACCTTTAAAGGTAAGGAAGCACCAGGGAGCTCTTGGCACAGTAACAACTCCATTCCTTTATATAAGGGCTTGAATATTTTGGTGAGCTGTCATTTTAAACATAAGTCTCAATCTGGGGTATTTCTCTGATGAATCAGAGCCTCTACAGGATTAAGCTTACTATGGCTAGGCTGAGATTGGTGAACAGGTGGTGTGCGGTGCACCCAGAGTGGGGGGACTTCTCTGCACTAAAATGGTTACTATATAAAGTATCCATTATAATCTGCTCGTGGCGGTTCCAATGAATTTCATGGTGGCAAGCATCTGAATAATGCCCTGGTTGAACCATGCCCTAGTAAGTGTGGTGAATTGTCTCCCCTCTCCTCCAGTGTCTGTGGAGACTCACTCAGTGTATGTGGAGACTGAGTCTCTGCTGCTGGACCAGAGGTGGTATCTGACATAGGTCTTAAAACTTATTTTCAGGAAAACATCACCCCTGATGTGGCATGTATGACAGTATGGTAGGCACATAAATGCTTGAATAGAGGCCATATCAAACTATACACACAGAGAAAAAATGCCCAAACAACATGACTCATGGGACACATAGATGACGTGACTAGAACAATGCACATGCTTGGAAGATATATGAATGCTTTGCTATCTTAAAAAAACATGCCATAGTGTATACTGCTTAGTACTAGGCTACACCTTTATGACTAACTAGTTTATCTTTGTAGAAGATGCATGCAGAGTCACACACACAAGATTAAAACAGAACAGGGAAGATCCTTCCACCTGTTATACATTACCCAACCATCTACAGATTAGTTAAATTCTTAAAGCACATTACTCATCTCCACACAATCTTGAAGAAAATAGTAGAATTCTCAAGGACTCAGATTGGATAGACTAGATCCTAACTTACAAAAAACCTGTGACTCGTCATCTAGGTGTTATACCCACACATAAGCACAGCAAGTGTGAGTGCAGCTCTTGAAGAATAAATAAGTACACATACCTCTCAGAATAAGATGGGCACACAGAAAAGAAAAAAGGAAAAAAAAAACAATAGTGCAAATATTGTATAGTAATTCGAAATCATGCAGTGTGAGTGAATGAAATTAGACTCACATTAATAAGAGCCCTTTTGGCAGGTATAGGCTCTCAGTCTGTTGAACTTCTGTTCCTTTAATGTGGCAATCACAACCTTTATGAATAGATTGCCAGTATCTCTCCCTATAGCAGATATGGATTAAAGAACAAACAGAGTAGAATGCAATCTAAATTAGTATTCTCAATGTAGCGAAGACAACCTCTATATACCACGAATGCTCACCTTTACTAGTCTATTTAACTATTTGCTCTAAGTATATAGATGTTGTGTCAAGTTGGAGGGTGCCACTTCCCTTCTTTAACCAGGATACAAATTATGTGGATAGGTAGGCATATCAATTAAAATAATGTATTTAATGTGTATCTTTAAAACAAAACAGAATTACAAATAAAATAGATTAACAGTCCTTATTCTTATCTGGAGGAAGGAGGATAAGGACTTTTAATCTATATTTATTTGTAATACTGTTTTTTTTTTTATAAAAGATAAGTCAAAATTTGTTATGGTTGCATATTGTCACACGAGCTTGGTAAATTTCCATAAGCTGGACCAAAACATTGCAATGATTTGTATACAAACTTTCTTAAATGGTATCTACTGAAATGTCAACCAAATCACTGAGTGCTAAAAGATTATTCAGATTTTTTTTCAGTTTGAAGCTGTATGGCTTTTCAGGAGGGGATGAACGTAATGCTCTTTTGCTATCTATCTATCTATCTATCTATCTACCATCTATCCTTGGGTGATTGGACAGTATGCCTTTTTTAACATGTAGAAATATATACACATGATCTCAGAAGCCTTTTTATGCTATGCAAATTGTGAGAAAGGCTCTCGCTAACATTGCAAATTGTAGTGACTTTTCCTAAAATATCTGGAGATTAATAATTTTTTTTTTTACTTTGCAGGTGACATGTGCGAATTCAACAGGTGGTGGAAAACTTGGAAGCTTAAAATCAGGAAATTCTTTATCAACGCTTAAGCATATATGGACAGAAAGCAACAAAGAGTTGTCAATCAGCCGACTCCTTTCACAGACATTTCGCAGTAAAGAAAATAGAACATCTTTGGATATGAGATATGATACTCCAGAACCTTACACTGAGCAAGAGCTTTGGGATTGGCTGAGGAACAACACGGACCTGCAAGAACCTCGTCCTAGAGCAAAAAGGCGGCCCATTGTGAAAACTGGGAAATTTAAGAAAATGTTTGGATGGGGAGATTTTCACTCTAATATCAAAACCGTAAAATTAAATTTATTGATAACAGGGAAAATTGTTGATCATGGCAACGGAACCTTCAGTGTTTATTTTAGACACAACTCAACCGGTCAAGGAAATGTTTCTGTGAGTTTGGTTCCTCCAACTAAAATTGTGGAATTCGACTTGGCGCAACAATCAGTGATAGATGCTAAAGATTCCAAGTCTTTTAATTGTCGTATTGAATATGAGAAGGTTGACAAAGCAACGAAGAATACACTTTGCAATTATGATCCATCAAAAACATGCTACCAGGAGCAGACCCAGAGTCACGTATCTTGGTTGTGTTCCAAGCCCTTTAAAGTGATCTGTATTTATATATCATTTTATAGTACAGATTATAAACTAGTTCAGAAGGTGTGTCCTGATTACAACTACCACAGTGACACACCATATTTCCCTTCTGGTTGATGAATTATGTATGCAAGACTTTACCTCTAAGGAATAAAAAGTGACCAGGCTGGAACCTTTACAAAGGAAGTAACATCATGGAATGTGTCTACATTGCATATAATTTAACTGGCAACCAAGACTTTTATACAGAAAAAAACAAATTATCAAATGCAATTTAGTTTCCCAAATTCACTCCATATATCATTTATTAGATGTAAGTCACTGTGGATATATAACAAAAATACACGATGTAAGTGGTTGTTTATTAAGGTCTTTTTTAAAAGAGCCTTCATTACCTAAAAACATGTTTCCTGCCAGTTTACGATGGAATCGAAAGGAAATGCCATTTCTAAACAGCTGTCTATCCAAATTAATTTCAAGATATAATTCTGTTTTACACTCCAGTATGCATTTCCTCCTACACACGTCTGGAGTTATTGGAAAAATATAATAAAGTTTCCTAGAAGATACACTTATGAACCCTTGCTTAAACAAGTGATATCGGGGGAATGTTCTACTCCAAGTTCAATACAATAAACCCTAAAAATCAAATAACAGAAAATAGTAGGAACATTTAAGGGCATATGATCTCTGAAGGAAGCCAGTCACAAGAAAAAGATGAAAATCCACTTAAAATGTACATGATAGCAAATGTGACACCTGGATTTAAGCTTCTATTAGTATTTCAATATTGAATACTTGGGTTCCTGTAAACTATGAAGTTACTGTATAGACATTAAACATATGTGAATGCTACCATGTATTTTATAAGAGGATGGCATCTTTAGTACAGTATATTGTAACTACATCAATATCCTAGTCTACATTTGTATGAATGGTTTGTATTGTACATAGTTTAACCAGTGTTACTTGAGCAGCTTATTAATATAACTAGTAATTGTCTCTGCTTGTTATTGGTTAAAATACAAACAAGGAACTGAGGAATCCATTCTATCAACTTAGCTGTAAACGTCATTACAAGAAGGGGACATAATTATGTACAAAGCATTTATTCTGCTAAAGTATTGTTGAAAGCTAAACATATACAACATTGAAGTCTGTATGCATTTAGATATTTTATTTCTGGAAAAAAAAAAGAAATATTGTACATAAAATAAAATACATTAAGTTGAGTTTAAATATTTACCAGTGGTTGTTTTAGTGGTCTTCTACAATGTATTACGCAGGTTACTGGGAATGGTGACCTATAATTGACAAATTGAAAAATAATTCATATGTCATTGCTGATTAATATTAATAAATTGATGACCTAAATTAATAAAAAAAAATAAAAAATGAAAGCATGAATGAAAGCAGCAACATTTAAAGAACATCTAAATATTGTTTTATATTTTTATTAAAAGAAAAGTACTTTTTTGGAACATAGGAAGAGTAAATACATAACATTAAAATGATATGAACAACATGAAGAATAAATGTGTGGAGTTTAAACCAAATTAATAATATATTATTCAACACGCAACTATACGGAGCTGTAAAGAGTTACTTTGATTCATTTAAACTCCTCAATGAACACTAGTTCTCTTGATAGTATTTACAGTGTACATATTTTGTTTTCGATCTTCCACATGCCTCTCTAATAATGTGCGCATCTGGGAGGTAGAAAATGCTAATGTGAAATCAGTATGTATTTGTCCTTGATTGCTTGGTGGTTATGACTAATTTTATGGAGAACAGACTACTCTACGACAATTTCATGATAATTTCAAAGACTTCACATTCAGGTTACAGATGCCTGTATTTTATCACCTATACAAATCGCATAAAGGTTTGTTTAAACAGGTTTCTGTAAAGCATGGCAATGCAAAACATAATGGAGTAAACAGAGAAATGGCTGTTCTGTTAACATGCAACATTTTTAAATTAAATATCTTTTTTTTCCCCAGTTTATGGAATGATACCATCGAATCCAATGAGCTAGATTAAAGTGTACAGCAATAACTACATATAGTACCATTATGGTTCAAAAGAACAAACATGCACTAAGATAAGATGAAATGATGCTGATGTTCTATTTGATTAAAAATAAATTTTTTGATTGGATTAAATCTACAGTTATCCCTGGAAAAAAACAACTTAACAAAAAACATATACTCATTTGTTTATATACTAATTATTAATATTCTATTTCAAAACCTCACAAATAAGCAGTATCTCTGTTGCTTTATAAGTACACATAGGAACAAATATGGCATATTTCTTTTATTTCGATTTGCATGCTTAACCCTATAGCTCACTAAATTAGCTCATTACATTTCTATGAATTAAACTCTGCATTGACGAATAGTGGAAAGGATTTGCCTAGCTCAGGGGTGCCCAAAAGGTAGATCCCCAGATGGTTTAAAACTATAATGATGCTTTGCCATTCTAAAGGTATGCACGGCATCATGGGACTTGTAGTTCAATGCTGAGCTCTTGTTCTTCAAGGGATTCAACAGGAAAAATTCAGTTTATGTTATCTGGTGAATTACTAATATGATGGAATATCCTGTCTTGTTTTGTATAAAAAACTTTTTTGGCCTCTCAAACACAATTCTGTGAGTGACAAGGTAGGTTACTGGTAAGTTCTAAAATGCCATTGTTAACCAATTTTATCAAAAACAGCAGGAAATGTGCAGTATAATGGTAGGTATTAAACCTTCCTGAACTTTGTTCCTGACTTGGATGACTGACCTGCCGTGCATCCTCATTGCCTATCAGGGTGAAATGTGATATTGTGATATTGTGCTATGGCATGACTAGCACTATTGAAGTATAACTAACAAATATGATAATATATCTATTTTTTGAATGACACGTGTGGGAACACTTTTGCAACCTAATGTCAGACATCTATCATACATTACTAGAAAATGAATCATATTAATGCTATTTAATGAAACTATAATAAAATTATAAACATTTTCAGTGGTAAAGCATATTTTTATAGCATATTTCACTTTTTTGTTTAATTGTGTAGGTAGTTCTATTATACAATTTAAAATAAAATTAATTTAAAATTACAATCAACATAATTTTTCATTTAAGCAGCAAGCTGCCTGACAATGTTTTATTAAGTCCCTTAAATTAGTATGTACTTAAATAGCCAGTGACTCAGTGCAATCAGTTTGTTTCAGCAATATTTAAAAATTCAAGTACATCGTTTATCAACGGAAATCAGGGTTGGTTGTTTTGAGCAATTAAAAATAAACCTGAAAACTCCATGTGTAATTCAGCGATTTATGCAAATTATGCAGCAGAAGACGTATAATCTATCTGTGGCATTGCTGACCATTAATACGCAGTCATTCAGAGAATATGACTATGTAATTTTTCTGATTATTATTGTTTATTGTTTGTATCTACAGTAAAATCAGAGATATTTTCAAGGACCATGGATTACATGGAACAAATCTTTGATTACTTTGGCCCCAATTTACATTATAAGATTCTTAATGCCTTCAACAGTATATTTCAGAACACAGAAGATGTGTTAAGATCATGCACCCGCTACAGTAGGCCATATACTGCAACCTTGAGCAGAGTAAGTGATGAGAACCGCACCCAATTGTTGGAGTGCCTGTGAGTTTTTTCCTCTTGGATATACTGCAACCTTGTGAACATAGCATTCTTAAGATTTCATTTAATGGATACAACAGGAAACTGGTTAATAAGGACAACAACAGAAGTAGGAAAATGTAACACAAACTAATAAGCGCTTATAAGATATTTTTTTCTACGTTCATTTTTCTATTTCAATTGCATAATTATTGAATAGTCCCAAATTTTGCTATCTTTAAAAGTGATCTCATTGTAAAGCAAAAACTTAAAGTGTAATTTTAATTGCCATATGAATTTTACATAGGTTTGGCTTTAGTGACCAAATTACTAAATAAGTATTAATATGAATATGTCATTAAAAAAGGTCATAAAAAAAACAAGTAATATTAACATCCATCAATTCCTGGAAGAGGTGTTGCTAAGTAACAAAAAGACCAAGGGCTTCAATGCAAGGGTATAAGTTATGGCCCCTACCACAAGTATTTAGGTAAGCCCCTCCTAAACCAGCCCTATACCATGCCCTAAGTCCTACTCTAAACCATAACCATGTTCTCTAATTTACATTATGACACCAAGCCTATATTTATAAACTCTACATTTGTTCTATTAAGCTCAAGCCATGCTGTTTACGCTTTCATAGCTCTGTATTAAAACCTTACACCCACAGCAATAATGTGCGCCGTATAATTAACACCAAATATGCTGCATTAAAGTGGCACTCTCGCAAATGATATAATTAGAGATGGTATTTCTCTCTTGGTATTACTGGGGACTCAGGACTAACAATGAAATACTCCCAAAATTAGTAACAGGGTGTTTCATGACCCCTTTCAGGGCTCCAGCTCCTGTCAGACCCACGCAGTGCAAATGTATTTTAAGATCTTAATTTATTTACAACCATTTGCGTTATTTAGTTGTAAACCATTTAGGTTAAAGCAAGTGTACACCATGCTCGATTTTTTGATCTTGCTAATATGTCCCTGTTATAGGATTATTAAAACAAGACTTAAAAAGTAACAGTAAAACATATCTAGTCAGAACGATTTGGAAAACTGTTAACCGAATTATAAGAAACTCAGGCTTATTTTATTTATATGTTAATCTTCAAAACATTTTTAAAACTCTATATTATGTTATCAACAATAAAGAAAAAATATATAAGAAAATGTAATTTATGAAAATAACAAGAAAAAATTGACTAATGTAAGTCTAATATTATAACTAATTATTTTAGGATGTTTGTTATATTTAAATTACAGTCGGTGGTAATCTACTGATTATAGCTTCAATTTGGAAAACATCTTTGACTTAGATGAACTAGAGATTTATTCTTAAGTCACCACATCCCATTCTGACTAAACAAAAAACACAAAATATAAGAAAAACTCTATTTTATTATAATGAGTAATTTGAAGAACTATGCTTAATATATCAAAATTTGACCTTAGATTTGATGATTCTCTGGAAGTATTTTTATGTCTTCTTTGTTTGTTTTTTTTTGTAAGATTTTCTTTATGATGTAAGATACAGAAATTGTGTTAAAACTAAATCAGAATAACTGAAAGAATGCTTTTTTTTTTTGCTTTTGTCATCCTGCAAGTTTAAATCTAATCCTAAACTTTTTTTATATTAATTTTGTTATGTAGAAATCTAGAGTGTGTTTATTGTCTGTATTCAAAATTCTTCAATGTAGATCTTTGTTTTATCTCATTATGTTAGATTTCAGGGTATTAAGGACAGTGGCAATATATTTCGTGATAGATTTATTGCAGGCAATATGATATAATTTTTTGTATTGAAGCAATGAGAAAGAGCCATGCTGTATTATATTTGTTTAAACGTCCAGCAATACATTCTCTGTATGTAGACATATTGTCTTTATTAATGTACAGTGTTTTAAGTAACATGACCAGAATGGACAAACGCAGCTTTCTGTTCTTTATTTACTCTCCTATGCATTTACCATTTGCTTTTAAATATATTATTGAAATAATTTATTATTATAAAGAATTTGCGGTCTCAAATGCAGGTTTCCAAATAAAAAAAAGACTTTTGACATCATTCTATTACTTATTCAATACTAGATGCAGCATAGAAAAAAAAAGTAGAATAATTATTTTTGAAGATTCATCTTTTTGTACTGAATAACTATATAAAGACACTAATTGTGTCTTGCCAAATTATTCATTCAAAAAAATTTAAATGATGAAAATTAAATCAACTGCAATGTAATAAATGTGCTAGCTGTGGAACAGTAATATATGATAGTTTCTTTAAATTTTGGAGGAGGGGCATCACAAATTATATGAAATATTTGTATTCTTTAGCTACATAAAATTAGAAAAAATGTAAAAAATTTAAATCCTAAAATTTGTTTAAGATATACACATATGTGCGCACACACATAAACACATATAAGTAAAACATTTAAATCAGGTTACCAACTATTATTTAGTAGTAGTATTAAGGGTATATATCATTGGTATTTGTAGTAGAATTTTATAAATTTTACATATTCAGTAATTTTATACAAAGGAAAATTAGAACACATACAGTTTATGTGGGGTATAGTTTCACAAAAAGGTAAAAGTGTGATGTATCCACACAGGATTAAATTGTGGGGTATTGGCAATATATACCAGGTCTTGAATTTGAAATTTTATGCTACTAGTCAGGCCCTAAAATGTACTTGCCACTGCAACCTGTGGTATACTCACTATATTCGTCAATAGCTAGTGGACATATTGAGCCCAGATATACAGTATCTATAAATTATGACATACTTTAGATAATGTGTTAAATTTTAAATACAAAATATACACACTGTTAGAAAACATACAATCAAAATCACTTATACAGTAATTGAAGATTTTACAACTGCCTATATCTATAAAATTAAGGGAAAACATAGTTGCATGAATTCAATGGAGTGGAAAACCATGAAATCAGATTTATAGAGAGGGACAAGAGGGACAAGCCCTAGACTGGGTATGCATGGTCTGCAACTCTGCCAGTGATCGTGGTCCAGGTCACGAAACAGAGAACCAAACTATGTATAAATTAATCAGTATACAAATGGTATCACACCTACTTATCCCATATATCTCATGTAGATGTTGGGAAACTCTAGATATTAAATAGCATGCCTCTCAGGATGAAATAGAGGAGGTTGATATACTTCAGAAAGGAAAGTAAAGTTATGAAGTCATCTTAACAACTGAAGACTTGCATCCTTGATTAAATTAAAGACATTACTTGGTACCAAAATATTCCACCACTGGTGCATATCTTCCACTCAGGTTCCATCCTTTTTTATTAATCTCTTTTCAATGTTTGTTTATGTTAGTAATGTGACTAAGCATGTGTCCCCACAATACCTTCTCTCTTTCTAAACTCATTGATATTTTTAAGTCTGCAGACACAGTATACTCTAACTAGGTGTGAGGAAAATAATGTTAAAAAATCCCAGCAAGAATTTTTGCATTTTGCACTTTCCTCCATTCTCCAATCTAACACTGGCTTACATACATATATAACAATGTAAGGAATTAGGAAAGTCCTCACATTTATCAATATGCAAATTTCATGCTTTAGCGTGTATTCATCATTGCTTAGTTATAATAATTCGGCATCTCCCAACTATGAGTGAAGAGGAAGGAAAGCAACTGCTCTGTGGATATTACTGGGTCTTCAAGACACACACACTTATTAGCCCTCATGTCATAGCACAGGGGAACGGAAATGTGGGTCTATGAAATCCCATTTTGTAATATTGATCCCTTTAGACCTGAATAACATGAAGGGAAAGGGGGATAATGTCTGAGCTTCCCTTGCTATATTTATATATTATGAAAGAAATGCCTAACACATTTACCTAAAAAAAATAGTTTTAAATTTTACAAGGCTACTTAAAATCACCTGTGTTAGCAAACATACATGGGGATCAGTTACACCATAAGTCCACATTGTGTTAAGCCCACCTCTCTGTCACAGTACTCTAATATTTGTGAGTTCTACAGTAATTTAAACAGGGGAGACAGACATGCTAATTTCAATACTCAATACTCCAATACTACTTAAACTGCTTCCAGAAACTCTCCTCAAATGCATGCTTTACTCTGATCACCTGTATTTTTTTGTGTGAGCCCTGTTCCTTAATCTGTATTTTGTATGTATTAATGTATTAATCTGCTGAGAAATTCACATTAGGGGTGTGCCCCCAATTCTCTTTTATTCTGTGTATGTTTTGAATCTAGACTCTACACCACCACTGTTGGCACCCTTCTGGAGGTGTCCACAGGAAAGCATAAATTGAGGAGATTCTCTGGAATCAATTTAACCAATAAGTATTGCAGTTAGAATATTTGTCTCCAGTGTTTAAAATAGTGCAATATTGGGGTACATTGATGTAGTGGTGGGTTTAACACAATACGACAATATAGTGTAACTGAATCCATATATTTGTTTGCTAAGATAGGTTATTTTAAGTAGCCTATTAGTCAATTCTTGAATTTCACGTGTTGGAAGCAGGAAAAATGGGAAAGCGCAGAGTTCTGAGTGACTTTGATAAGGGCCAAATAGTTATGGCTAGACGACTGGATCAAAGCATCTCCAAAACGGCAAGTCTTATGGGGTGTTCCTGGTATGCAGTGGTTAGTATCTACAAAAAGTGGTGCAGGGAAGGACAATGGGTGAGGCTCATGGGCACCCAAGGCTCATTGATGCACATGGAGAGCAAAGAATAGCCTGTCTTGTTTAATCACACAGAAGAATTTATGTAGCTCAAATTGCTGGAAAACTGCTGCTTATGTCTTTTTCAATTCATCAGAGCTGTTTTGGCATCACGAGGGGGACCTACATGATATTAGGCAAATGGTTTTATTGTTGCGGCTGATCAGTGTATTTATATGGTTATCAAATACCAATATATGATTTTTAGATGTTTTTAAGCCTACAGTTCAGTTAATAAATTAATTAAAGTAATTTTAACTGCTGTTAATTGTTTTGGATGTGGGGAAACAGGAGGGACACTTTAAAAAAAATACTCTACTAAATATATATTTTTAGTGCACCACATTTGTATTTATTATACTCTTCTACATTCGGAATAGAATGAAACATGCTTTATTTATTTATTTTTATCAATGGAACATCCTTTTTGGATGAAATGCCCATGCTTTAATGATGTTACTTAAAAAGATGCATATTTGCTCTTACTATCCAGATCTGATGAATGTGCTCTTAAAAGTTAATCCTGTTCACAGATACTAAAAAAATGGTTCAGATGCTGTAAATGATGTAAAGAGGGAGTTGCTTTACAACAAATGAAGAGCGTTGTTGCTCCACCACATATATAAGGTCCTATCAGTTCTCTCTTTAGTTTTTAAAAGCTGAAAATTAGACAATGTTCAATTCACTTATGAACTGCAATTGATCAGAATTTGGCCCAATAAGGTGATCTCACAAATTCATGAACTCTTAGCTGAAATGTAACCAATTCACGAACCAAAGAAATTGCGCAATGGAAAGACATGTTCACCTTGATCGTGATTCAGAATTACACCCATGGAGCCCCCCAAAAAAATTGATGAGAAAAAAATATGATTTCTAGCTAAGGGACAGCAAATAAATGTTGATGTTATTCACAAATCAAGTAAGAAGTGGCTAAAGTAAAAAAGGAGGAACAGTATATATGCTATGATATATAAATATAGATATTTTTTCTGTTCCTCATTTATTTCCCTTTATTAATTACATTTTGTCACCTTAGATCTTGATTTAATATTGTTAGATAAGCTTTCCAAATAATTTCATATTAATGAATACACTTTTAAAAATAATTATTTTTTCAAAATATTAAAATATCAAAAATATATAATATATAAAATTATTTCAATGCATCAAAATATATCAATATTAAAACATTTAAATATTTTTCACAATATTAAATAATTTTAAAAGTTTATCCAAAAATATTAAATAATTTAGAAAACGTATCTAACAATATTAAATTAATATTAAAGGTCTTAATCTGTGAAGCAAATAGTGAGAACATGCACCTTTTAGTGTACCGCAAAATATATACATAATATTTATATTATGCATATATTTTACTGTACACCGATTGGCCCATTTTCATGACCTTTTGGTTAGTTTCATTAGTTTTCCTAAATTTTATTATTTTTTTGAATCCATATAAGGCATAACCGTGTATGTAACCGTTCCATTTTTTTTTTTACTTTTTGGAAGAAATACATTTGTTCATTTTGCACATCTCATCTGAAATCCTTAATAAATCTTCACCCCAGGCTATGATTCAGACATTTCCCTTGTCTTTGCCATTTTCTTACAAAAACATAAACTAAATCCTTTGGGGATATATTTCATTTATGACTTGTCCCAGCTCTTTTCATTGGATTATTAGTAGTCCCACATATATGGAATATCCCTTATATAACTTAGCAAGGCTGGGTCAATGTTCTTAAAATGGCTATGCTATTGTGCAAGAGTGCATTATGTACATGCTATTGAGGCTTCTTGCAAGGGATCCCCGAACCCTCTTCAACCAGATTGAAATCATTTTTATTATCACCATTTAATCATTTTCACAAAATAAAAATATGTTTGGTTTTATCTAACATACAAAAGAATCTATTGAACAGAAAAACAAATGAGCACATTCCATACAGAAAGGGTTCCGATATTTTACCTTGAGAAGCAGGTGAAGAGGTTATTTGTTATATTTTCTCTAAAAGCAAAAAAAAATTAGTTTAATTTAATCATGTTTCCATATTATTAAGAGTAAGGGCAAGATATGTTTAGTATATGCATTTATTGTAAAGAT